CACACTACCATCACATGTTGTTTGGCTACACTCTCGCCTGCCACCACCTTACTGGTCTAATCTCCCTCAGATTACATCTTCTACATAGAATATAATCTATCTGTGTGGACCTGCCTCCACTCTTGTACGTCACCCTGTGTTCTTCTTTCTTTTGGAAATAGGTGTTTACCACAGCCATTTCCATTCTCTTCGTGAAATCTACCACTGCCTGTTCTTCTAAGTTTCTCTCCCTCACACCAGACCTACCTATCACTTCCTCATCTCCTCTGTTCCCTTCCCCTACATGACCATTTAGGTCTGCTCCAATCACCACTCTCTCTCTCCCCTGGGGATACTCTCTACCATCCAATCCAGCTCAGTCCAGAACTTCTCCTTTTCTTCCAAATCACAGCCCACATGTGGGGCATAACCACTAACAGCATTTATCATCACTCCTTCTATTTCTACCTTCACACACATCAACCTGTCTGACTCTTGTTTCTCCTCCACCACATTTCTTACGTATTCTTCCTTTAGGATCACCCCTACTCCATTTCTCTTCCCATCTGAACCATGATGAAACAGTTTGTAGCCTCCTCCAATGTTTCTAGCCTTGCTGCCCTTCCACCTGGTCTCCTGCTACAAAATGTCTATTCTTCTTTTTCTCTCCATCATATCAGCCAGTTCTCTACTTTTCCCTGTAATTGTACCTACATTCCAAACTTCAGACCAACACTTCTATTCTTCCTCTTTTCTCTTTTTGTCTGAATCAATCGCCCTCTTCTTCTTTGTCTTTGACCAACAGTAGTCCAATTTCCACCAGTACCCTGTTGGTCAACAGCACTGTTGGTGGTCGTTGTTAACCCGGGCTTCGACCGATCCGGTATGGAAATCGTTTTAGTGATTCACATATTTGATTTGGCTAAAAGTGTTACACCGGATGCCCTTCCTGACGTAACCCTTACCATTTATCTGGGCTCGGGACCGGCACTATAGTATCACTATAGTAGCACTGGCTTGTGTATCCTAGTGTACCCCAGTGGCTCATTTGTCATTTATACTATTGATAATGTTGTTGCTATTGGTCTTCCTCTTCCTCCTCTTCTTCATCTCTTTTCTTTCTTCCTTTTCTTCTTCATCTTCTTTGTTTTCTGTCTTTTCTCCATTGACAGCTCTTCTTTTTCTTCGATTTTCTTTTTCACCTGTTCTTCCTCTACTTCTTCTTGTTATTTCCAACACTGACATCTACTGCATGTTCCCTTTCTAAAACAGAGTTCTACTGAGTTTCCTGTACCATTTTTTGGACTTTCTTTGCCTTTTGGAAATGTCTTTCTGTACCTTCTTCATGCCAAAAGTGCTGCCAGATTTTTTTCTTCCTGCCTCCAAATACAGCTCTTCCCCTCAGATTCTCAAAAGTTTCCCTTTTATTTCCATACTACAGTACATTGCAGTACATACTACGACAGCTTCTTTTTCTGACCTACCAGGTATTTTATCACCTGGTACCCAGGGTCTCTAGCTACGACAAGTAACACTCCACTGTTATTGGCAAAAACAGATCAAAATAAATAAGTAATAAATGAATTAAACTAATCCACCTTTCTGGTTGCTCCCAAGTGTTTCATGTTGCGTTAACTTCCTCAGTTACTTGATGGATGTATCGTCACATTGCTTGTTGTGAACGGAATGAAATCCCAAGGTATGGTCGAAAGCATATTCACTTTCTAAAAGCGAATATAATAGATAAGGCCCCAGCACTTGATCACGACAGCCTGCCCACTGCATCAGTGCACCCTTCACTCGTAGGTATATGGCCCTCATCTCCATGGCAACCGTTGCACAATGTCTCCAGCACTTGGTAATCAGCCTGTGTGTAGGCTGAGGAAAAATAGGTTGCTCTTCTATTACCTTTTGAAGAAAAAGTGGCAGATAATGTCGGTGGGATGAGGTTCTATTGCTTTTAGTTGTAAACAAGTCAGTCCTGGAAGGGCTTTCATTCTCGCAACTACCAGCTGAATGTCATGAACTGTATGCAGACGCACACTCACAAATAACACACACTTGTTAAATACAAATTTGGAGTAATTAGGGTCTCCGTGTAGAGCGGAGTAATTTTCTTTTCTGAACTGGGAAATGGGAGACGGTGAACACCAGTGTCGGGTCACAATGATAAATATCAATCAGTCCGACAAAAATAAACAAGAGTTTTGAAGTTAGTGCAGCAAATAGGTAGATAAGTACTCTATTGATCCCAAAGGGAAATAAAGGAAATGACTGAAAGCAAATCTATGGTCATAGATGTAAGAAAAAAGACTGAATTCCCTATTTTAAAAGGTTAGAAATACAAGTGCCATAGAAAAGTATTTCCCCCTTCTTCCTGATTTCTGTGTTCTTTGCATATTTATCACACACAAAGGTTTCAGATTATCAAACCATTTTAAGTATCACACAGAGACAACCCAAGAAAATACAAAATGCAGATTCTAAATGATGATTATATCTACCAAGGTGGAAAAAATTACAAACCTGGCTCTAGGTAAAAAGTAATTGTCCCCCCTTGTTAAATCACAAAGTAACTGTGACTAACCACAGTTTCAGGAGAGTTCAATTTCACAGGCCACACCCAAACCTGATTACCACCATATTTGTTGAATCAAGAAATCACTGAAATAGAATCTGTCAGACAAAGTGAAGTAGGCTACAAGATCTCAAGAACTCCAGAAATGAGAAAAAAAGTGAAATCTATCAGTCTGGAAAAGGTTACATAGCCATTCTCAAGGCTCTGGGGCTCCAGCAAACCGCTGTCACAGCCATTAGACAGTGGCAAACCTTCCCAGGAGTGGTCAACCTACTAAAATTACTCCAAGAGTGCAATGACAACTCATCTAGGAGGTCACAAAAGAACCTAGAACAACATCCAAAGAACTGCAGGCCTCGCTTGTCTCAGTATTCATGACTCCACCATAACAAAGACACTGGCCAAAACTGGCATCCACCGGAGAGTTCCCAAGCAAAAAAAAAAAAAAAACATTGCTGCCGAGAAAGAACACAAAGGCTTGTCTGACATTTGCCAAAAAACATCTTGATGATCCTCAAGACTTTTGGAAAAACATTCTGTGGACTGACTTTTGGGAAGGTGTGCGGCCCATTACATCCGGTGTACAAATGGCACAGCATTTGATAAAAAGAAATTATGCCAATATTGAAGAATGGTGGTGGCGGTGTGATGGTCTGGGGCTGCTTTGCTGCCTCAGGACCAGGACTACGTGCTGTGATTGATCGAACAATGAATTCTGCTGAATTCTGTCTGCCAGAAAATCCCGAAGGAGAACATCTGGCCATCAGTTTGTGCCCACAAATTCAAGCGCTCTTGGATCATGCAGCAGGACAATGATCCGAAACACACCAGCAAGTCCACTTCTGAATGGTTTAAAAAAACAACACAAAATTAAGGTTTTGGAGTGGCCAAGTCAAAGTCTGGATTTAAATCCAATTGGGATGCTGCGGTGTGCCTTAAACGGGCAGTTATGCTAGAAAACCCTCCGATATGGCGGAGTTGAAACAATTCTGCAAAGAAGAATGGGCCAGAATTCCTCCACAGTGATGTGAAAGACTCATCACCAATCGCTTGATTTCAATTACTGCTGCCAAGGGTTGCACAACCCATTATTAGGTTCAGGGGGCAATTACTTTTTCACATAGGGCCAGATAGGTTTGGTTTTGATTTTTTTTTTTTTTTTTTTTTTGGGGTGTTTTAATAAATTAAATCATCATTTAGAAAACTGCATTTTGCATTTCTTTGGGTTGTCTCTTTGTGATATTACAATTGGTTTGATGATCTTAAACCTTGTGTGTGATAAATATGCAAAGAACACAAGAAATCAGGAAGGGGGGAAAACTTTTTCACGGCACTGTACATGTATCCAAAAGCTAGATAATGGTTAGAACAGGTCTAAGTATTGACCTAAAGCAAGCTGTGAAATAGCTTAGAGCTAGCAATGGTTTTATTAGAAGTTACCTGACAGGATAATTGTTGATCTGAATTCATCTGTTACTTTCATACTATAGTTTTCATACTATACTTTTTAATACTGGAGCTAAAATTACATAATGTACAATTGAATTACATTTGAATTTAACTATATTGTGAAACAATTAGTAGAAAAATAAAAATATTAGGCAAAGCTACTATCTCAAAAACTCAAGTAATGCCAAAAATAATGAATTCAAAGTAGGTGACAGTAATAAAAAGTAAAAAATACAAAATAAAATCAACTCACTATGAGTAAAAAGTTTACTAACTTGATCAATAATGTGTTCCAGTGCTCCTACTTGCTCAGCCTTCCTTTATCACAGAGCAAGTACAGTACAGTACAGTAGTCGAGCACCGTGAACCAGTGATAAACACCTGCAACTGAAGCTGGAACTCCTACCTGCTCCTTGATCTCCTGGAGCTTGTTGCTCTGTTCACGGATGTCGTGGAGGAGCTGCAGAGCTTTGTCATCCTCCTGTGACACTTCCATACGGGCCTGTTCCAAACTGCGCTTCAGACTCTGCAGTAAAAAAAAAAAAAAAACACAGCACAGCTCAGTTTGTCAGCATCTACAGAAATCTAGAACAGTCTGAGTTACAACAATCAAGGTCTGTTGTGAATGCTAATATCAGTTTACACATAATTTGGAGTTGGTTCTTTGCAGCTTTGCTGCTTTGTAATAGGAAGGATTTCATTTTTATATGTATCCAACTATGCCAGTTGGAAATTCAAGTCCAGTTCAAGTTGGTAAAAAACAGATTGAGAACGTTGCTTTAAGTGCATGCAAGTCAAAGAGAGATCATTTTAATTCCCGCCCATCAGTGATCCGACAATAGTCATGTTACAAGTGCTAGACTTCATTGACTACGGGAATACTTACACTACATTCTGTGATGTAGGTGGCCAGGTCCTGTTCCAGGATGCTCCTCTGGGTCTCTGAGGCCTTTAACTCAATATCCTTCTGCTGCAGAACTGACTCCAGGTCAGACATTCTCCTCTGGACAAGGGAAATTTCCTGTTCAACCTTAAAACAATGACAAAGAACACACTCACTCAAAACATAGCTACATCTGGAAATAAATAAAATAAAATTATCCACTTGATTTGAGGGTTGACACATTAGCATCCATGAGATCTGATGGTTTGGAAAATCTGTAATAAAAGATATCTAATTTGCCAATTATATGTGAAAAGTAGTTTATGAATGAATGTATTTACTTGCATGTTTACTATTTGTTGAGACAAATTAAAATTAGTCTAATCATGAGATGGACAACTGATGTTTGACAGACTGTGGAATTCGTCTAATTAGGACATGTGCACATTGTGTGAATAAATGTGTGAATAAAAACATAACAGACACAGATGGATGAATAGTAGCACATCAGAAGCTTTGTACCTGTGACATGTGTCCGTTGGTGCTGTCTGTGACTTGTTATCTGCTGTAGTTCCTGCAGGTGTCTGGTTGTATCTGTTATATCGAAGGATGAAGTCTGTAATCTGAGAGAGAGGAGGAGAGGAGAGAAGAATAAAGAACAGATAACAGTTTTTACTGTTGAGCTCTCACAAGCCACTGAGGCGTTGACTGTTATGTAAAACACTTTGTATTCATTATCCTCTCATATTGATCAGAGGTGAGGTAATTTTCACAGGAAGCAGATTTAATTGTAAAAAAACTCTTGGAGGCAAAGGCTGTAACAATGTTCATACTAATGTGCTGCTTTTTCACTTTCTTTGTCAGTTTAGTAGAAATCTATTTAGTTATACACGCACACACATACATATATGTTGCTTATCATTTTAATAATTGCTATTGTTATGCTAACATACATCATATGCCGGCTGTATATATGTCTAATACAGTAAGAATACACTTTATTGTCATTGTACAGGTGCAGGTCTACAACTAAATCAATATAATTAAAATGTCAAAATTATACAACCAAAATAAAATAAAATAAAATAATAGATAAAAAGATAACAGTAAAGTAAATGGTATTATAATGACTAATAATACAAAGAAAAAGTTATTTAGACCAAAATATATTTCTTCACATTTCAGTGAACCGTCACCAATGTTCAGTTGAATTCAAAGAAAAGAAAAAGAAGAAAAATAAATGTGTAAAGGTAAATCAATTTAGAGCTATCTAGATACTCGATTAGTATGCACATATACACATGCGTGCGTGCAGGCGTGCACACACACACACACACACAGAGTAATATATTTTGTGTGGATACTACACAGACATCTGTACAGTTCAGACCAAACGTGCACTCACAGTGTAGCTGAAGAGAGTCTAAAAATAGCCTTGGAGCCTTTATATACAGCAGCCTTTTTACCACCGCTGGATATATTTGGCAGCATTTGCAGTGGGGAGGGAGGTGCATGGATGAGCCAGGGAGGGAGAAGGTCTAATAAAAGCAACGGCTCACCTCCCACTTCTCCCTGCAGCAAGATGCTCCACTCAAGATCAACTCACATGTGGAGGCTCGCAAAGCCCTGTGTGTTTCCACTGTTGCATAACTGTGTTTATCTGGATGATCATGAGACGATAGCACCAGCAGGAAGTACACTTCTCTGAGACAGTCCTCAGAAACGAGGCTTTATATTGATCCCAAGCTTTGATTTTACCATTATTATGATATGAAGAATAGGATTCAATTTTACAGTGCCTCCCTGTGTCTTCACACTTTGATCGTCTGCGCCTTGTGTTACTGCAGCTTCCAACAGCTGTGCTGCTCTAAGAGAACAAACTGTATATCTTAAATGTGACAAACATCATTCACATCACTTGAGTTAAAGCACAGTGGAAGCCACCTGTTTTGTTCAGACCAGTCCTAAAACTAAATTGTTTCATGTCATCGACAGATCATCACTGATTCAGAAACACCTGTGTGACGAGGTTTAAACGCTGCAGATGAGCACAAAATAATGTCACATCCAAAGAGATGACAGTGTTGTGAGGTCATTATGTTTGTGCAGCGATCCAAGGCTTTTATTCTTTTTAGTTCAGTTCTTTCCTAAAAAAAGCTTGTCCTGTCAGACTGGCAGCAAACGGTGGAACAGCAGGTGGTCCATGATGATGACAATGGTGCTGATGATAATGATGAACATGGTGGTAAACATAAATGATGATGAATGATTATCAAAGACAATAATCAACAATGACAATGAATGAAGAGGTGATGAAGATGATCTTAATGATCAATAATGATTAAAGGTATTTACAGTGATGGCAGTGATGATAATCAGGATTAGTTTTCTCTGGGGAGCAGTAATGTCACTCCAAGGATGCAGATCAGTCTTTAAAAGAGAAGGAAAGTTGGGTTAGAGTTAGCTGGATTATCCAAGCCAAGATTTGGAGCAAACTGACTAATCTAATATGTTAAAAAAAAAGATCTGTACTTTATACTATGCAACTCTATAGGGCTACATAGTAACATATACGTAACACCGTTGTTTCCCCCTGAATGGCTCCACAAACAGTGCTTGTGTAAATGAACTCAATAACAGCATAGTTTAAATTCGGGCAGAAAAAACTTCTAACCAAGTAAAAGAGGTCTTTCTCGTAGGCAGAATATTGTGTGCTCGACTGAGTCAGAGTTGTTGAAGAGGAGGAGGAGAGTGGAGAGAGGTTGCATCCCAGTCATGGTGTGGCCCTACATTCAGTCTGGTGAGTGACCAGAGTGCAGGCTGGAGTGCTGATGTACCCTCTGTGGGCAGAAGCGGACCATCGACCTTCTGAAAACACTGTTGTGCTGCAGGTTATTCTCTAAAAAATAACAAACTTCAAGTTCCTCTGCCATGGAGTTTGATCTCTCTTCCTCTTGTTTCTCTCCACACACACACTATTGTCATGACAACAACAAATTGGTTTGGAGCTTTCTGGCTTCAGCCTCTGCAGTTCTTAAATATAAATATGTCTCAGCAGCTGCAATTATATAATTCTACAAACCCAAGTCATTTTTAGAATTTAGCAACATTCACCTGAAGCACATTCAGTTCACTCATTCTAGACATGCACAGGCAGACACCAGATGGTGCTACAGCACTTGATAATACAGACGTCTTTATACTCTTTAGATTTATTCTCAGTGTGGCCAATATCATCAACCTTAAAACAAAAACAACCAAGAAACAAAAAAAAAAAAAAAAAACATTATTTTCTCATAGAGTAACATTTATAACAATATTTTCTACTACTTCATCCACTTACACTACTACTATTACTGTACTTTGTTTTGACCACTCTTACAAACACATCTACCTACTGATATTATCAACACCACATTGTACATGTACATTTTTTCCGCTGCACTGTATGCCACAACAAATTCCTCGTAGTTGAAAACCTACCTGTCAATAAAAACATTTCTGATTCTGATTCTGAGTCTGACCACTCTGACTGTTTCATTTGTTCTAGTTGTAATTCTACCACTTTTATTCCACTCAGTCTATTTTAAATAAATTAACTACTGCTGGTACTACTATTATTTTTACTGCGTCCACCATCTGTTCTATAACCAATTATTCTTCAATCAACTGTCCTTCCACTTTCACTAATAACACTGATAACTGTTACTCGTACTACTGCTGATGCGACTGATGCAACCAACACAGCCTGTACTTTTTGTTTTCTTAGAATCCAATCTCAGGATTTCCGACAGCTGGAACACTTATTCCAACAATTTACCAACAGCAGAGTCTTAGAATGAGATGGACTAATTTTTTAGCACTTTAGCTGAGAAAAGATTGGTTGTAATTTAAACAAATAGTCAATGCATTTTTTTATTGTGGTTGATAATATCCGACTTATATTATTGGACTAAATCTGTGTGACATTGTTAAAATGCTGAGGTGCCGTTCAGATCCTGCACTGTGGTTCATTTGAAAGGATTGTTGGAGCTAGTTGTGCTGAAGAATCGTGTTTGAGTGTAGTGCTAGCTGCCACTAGGGGGTTCGCCTGAAAGAAAATGTGATGGTGGAGTGTTTTGTTTTTTATTTGTGTAAATGAGTTGTGTTTTGCACTTAATTTTTGTTCTATTAGGTAGTGAATTAAGACTCACACTCAAACCTCTTCTAAGGTACTTCAGCCCGTCCCAGCCCACTTTGCTTTTTGTTAAATCCAATTACAAATAATCATCAGATTACAATGTCTGTTGGTGTTGAATTGTGGAAGTTGTACCAACCTTTGTCCTGACCCAGTATCAACTATTAGCTACTGTACACAACACCTCTGAACATTGTGTCTCACTGTGTGAATCCCCGTGGTAGTTAAGCCTAGTAAAATATCATAATTTATAAAAGTAGAGTGAGCCCTCTTCAGAGCTCTTCAAACATCCAGCCCATCATTACACCACAGACCCAAACCACTGAGAGCCTCAGTGTGGGCTTCTGAAGGAGGCTCTGGGTGAAATGACATTTGAGGATGGATGATGGAGCATCATAAACTCACAGAGGCTATAACTGCTCTGTCTCTGCTGCTCCCTCAGTGTTCTCCACCTTCATTCTGCTCCTCTTTCCTCCACAGTAACGTTATACATTATGGTGAACGACAGCAGTCAGTCATTTACCCATTGTCCCTTTGCTGCATTACACAGAACATATCACTAGAATTGAGCTGTTCATCTAAGAATTAAAGTTAGCACTGGCTCTTCTTAAGAGGAGCAAACTGAAGAAGTTTGGACTCCTTGTCAGGTTAACTCATCTCAGTCTCAATGGAAAATAGCTTGAAGCATGATTGTTAGGAAAAAGACCTGAGGTTAGAATGAGGACAGGCTGACGAGACTGCAAATCTTAGAGATTGCTTTTGAAAACCTTGGACTCAGCAGTATAGTTTTTAATAGACTACTTGCACTACCTGCTGAGACCCTCACCGTTGAGACCGAAGCCTAGAGTGTGAATGAAACTTTTAACTTTAAGTGTGGAAATAAAATATGCTTGTGTGTTGAGCTGTTGCAGGCACCTTAAAATTGTATAAAAAAATATATTGGCCAGATGTGATTAAACATCAAGATTACCAGTAATTACTACTACTACTACTACTACTACTACTACTACTACTACTACTACTACTACTACTACTACTACTACTACTACTACTACTACTAGTACTACAACTAAAGAAAGTTTTTGGCAAATAGCTGATTTAGCTCTAAAGCAGTTTTTTAAAGCTAAATAATCTATTTGCAACAGCATAATGTCACATCTGGTCCTATGTATTGAAGGGAAATATAATTAAAAACTAAAATAAACATACTTGTCACAGACTAACTAAAAGTAACCATGTTTTGGTAAAGATGAAGACAAAAGAAATCCTGCTTCTAGAAGGTTTGAGTGTGACATTCACTGGTCAAGCATAAATGTCAATAAATAATCCTCTCCTCTCCTCTCCTATCCTCTCCTCTCCGCTTCTCCCCTCTCCTGCCCTCTCCTCTCCTCTCCTCTCATCTAAACCTGCTGTTACCATAGAGATTCTTACAACTATTTTATCATATGTATATAATTTTTTTATATATTCAACCTTGCTCCTTCTGTTTTCCAGCACTTCCATGACAGCAGCATGTTTCCTGATGCTTTAAATTGACTCATGATCATTTTGAAAATCTTGTTATGTCACATGCTCTGATGAACTTTTGTCTTAGAAATAACTTTTGTCTCATTCATTATGTACAGTAAAGGCGATGATGTCATTATGAACTACACACTCAAACGCTGTGGAGTTTGAAACCACACCACAGGGGGCGATGACCCTCTGTACCAGTCTGTTCTACTGTAAGCATGCCAATGAAGAGATGGTCAAAACAAAGACGTGGCACCTTAGTGTCGTGACCAAGAATAGCAGCTTACTCACAAACAGAGCAGATACAGCTGCTGCTACTGCTGCTGCTACTCCTGCTGCTGCTGCAGCTGCACACATACACCAACACCACCTCATCTCTAATCATCTCAGCATTCCATAAATCCTCAGCTAAAAGGTGTCAAAGACTCTAAACATTAGGCAGATGTGATGCAATGTGCTAAGAAATGGCTGAAACAAGGCACAGGAACAGTTTGAAGTATTTGAAGGAAAGATGCCGTTTGGTTTGTTTTTTTAACCACTGATGAACAAAGTAACACAGTGAGGACACTTACAGAGAAGCTGCTTCAGATGACAGGTCTTGCACTTGGTCCTCCACAGATGCGGCAACTCCTGCTTCAGTGAAACCATTCATGTGGGGTTTCCCTCAGAAGCCAGCAGCCAGAATGAGCTGCGCTGGTTCATCAAAATCAGGGATGTCATCCTCACTGGGGAAAGAGAAAGAAGTGATGCTGAAGGGGAGAGAGACAGAGAGGAAGACGGAGGGAGAGAGAGGGATGTGGAAAGGCAGGAAGCTGTAAGACTGTGAGCACGACTAAAGATTAGCGCTAACAGAGAGACAGAGCAAGAGGAGAGACAGAAAGGAGGGAGTGAAGATCCACTGAGAAAAACATTGTGGAGTAATGCAGCATATCACTGATTACATATTGTAGAGCTGGGTTGGCTAAAAATGTTTTGGGGGAGGGGCAGATTCAATTACCACCAACTTCACATATTTATTTGGTGAATTGGATTTATAAAAAAAAACAAACTCCACCCTTCTTCAAAACTGAGCTAAAGCTTAAACTAAGCCAGTGGACAGATCAAAATGATAGCAACACAGTAGTTAGGACAGAAAAGGCTAAAACTGAAAAAAAGGATTATTTTTATTATGAAAAAGGACCCAAAGATATTTTTAGTAAAAGAAATAGTCACAAATCAGCTGAATAATAGTGGCCTAACTTACAGCAGAGTTGTTTAAACTTTTCAAACTAGTGAAATATCCACCAACTGCCAGGTTACCACTGAGATGCACTGAGCATGGCATCGTCCTCAAGCACTGCTCCCCGGGCGCTGACCACGGCTGCCCACTGTTCACTTTGGTGATGGGTTAAATGCAGAGGTTAAATTTCGTTGTGCATGGTGTGCTGTGCTGTGCTGTGTCACAATGACAAATAAAGATAAGTTTAAGTTTAAATTGACCTTTTATTAGTTAGTCGTTCAAATCATCTTAATGGTAAAGAAGATAATAAAAGGGATATTACGAAAGGGAAAGTCCTAGACAATGGAACACAACAGTGGACTTTTGTTCTCCATCATTGTTCTCCTGGTCTTAGTATTAAAGCAGTTTTCTGCAATAGCCAGGTATCTGGTGGCGTTTCTATTACTCTGTTTATACATTTGTATTTGATGCTAAATGTATTGTCGTTGTCATTGTATCTGATGCACAATGGACGCTTCAGTGGTAAAGTACAGTAATTAGTGTAATCAAGTGATGCCAAACACTTCAGCTTTTCCATCAAGTGACTAGTCAGACTACACATGAAACAAGAAATGTGTTAATCTTCTCCTCTCCTCTCCTCTCCTCTTCTCTCCTCTCCTCTCCTCTCCTCTCCTCTCTTACACACTGGACTATTAAATAGTGAATACTGTAGTACAGTACGATTCATGTCACAACCTAAATTAAATCAACTCAATTTACACGTTTGTGCTCATGTACACCAAGTGACATGTCAGTGTAAATCTGACACACACACACACACAGAGAGAGAGAGAGAGAGAAACAGATGGCAGGAGATGATACAGTGACCAACAGTGAACTGCAGCGAAAAGAAAAGTGCTGAACACATGTTAGTGCACGTCAGTGTCAGTCACAGTAATCAGCAGCAAACAACATCATAGCGTTATTTGCTTCATTTATGTAACTGTAATTCTGAAGACAGAATCGCAGAAGGATGTAATGTCAGACTGATCCTGGGAGGATTTCACCTCCTTCTCCTCGTGTCCTCGCTGAGTCCAGGAACTGTGTTGATGTTATGGATCCGTGACATAACGTATGTTAATGTTTACGTAATGTTTGTCTGGAAAAACAATAACATGAGAACGTCTGCAGGTGAGATGAGATCAGCACTTGATATGAGCAGTGATGGTGGTGAGAAGAGGAGCACGGAATTTAGGAGCAGCTTTTTCCAAGACTTCTAAAATACCTGACAAAAATATATGTCATGTTTTATTAATAGAACACCATTACATAACACAGAAAGATTCCAGAGGTGTGTGTGTGGAGGATTGGTTCCAGCCTCAACTTCTCCACTGTTAAAGTGTTAAACAACAACACTGAGCATTTACTGGAAAAATAAATGTAGGGAGAGCTGCTGTTCACTGGACAGACCTAAGGTGTTGCCTCCCCCGCTCCAAGCCACTGACAAAGTGGAGCTTTCACAGTACTGCTAAAAAAGAAAATAACATTACCACATCCATAATTGTTTTCTGGAGAGACACTGATTAAAATTGGCTATTAATGTAAAAAATAGTAGAGCTGTCAATTGAATAGATCTGATAAATCACAGGTTAGTTGTGGATCAATCATGATTGTAATTGATCATGATTAATCAACATATATATGTTAATATTATTTTACCCTAAAGTACAGTCTTCATGTGGCTTGTACTGTTTTTTGGGGTTTTTTGCTGCAGCTTCATAACTTATTACCATAATGACAAAAGATTTGCGTGAAGTGAAACTCAATTGTGAGCTGGAAATAATACCTTTCTGATTGGTCTTCTACGTCAGTATATAAACTGTTTCATTTCCACTTGTGGGTCGAGGCAAGAGGCAGAGTCCTCTCACTGATGTTTCCTAGCAACACAGTGCCATGTGTTAAAGGCAGATCTCAGCTCAGTTTCGTAAAAGTGAAAATGGGAAACGCTGACACTTTTTTTTTTATTATTTATTCTTACTAAAATTGCATTTATATGGAGCAGGGACCAAAATAAACAGGCCTTCTGGGCATTTGCTCTTCAAAATATTCAAATACTCCACAAGCTGCTCCATACTTTCTTAATGAATGATTTACTCAAAAAGGCAACCTTCCTGCGGGTGGTGAGTCCACTGGAAGGTATTAACCGCACCCTAACCGGGATTTGAACTTGCCCAGGAGGTGGTTTATATATATATATATTTGTATATTTGTGGTTGTGTAGGTTCCATAGTGTAGCAGTTAGCACGCCTGCCACAGAAGTAGAGAGTCCTGGGTTCGATTCGAGGAACCACATGCTTGGAATGGGGCAGTGCTCCCAGGCCCTTAAAGCTGCCCACTGTTCACTTTGGTGATGGGTTAAAAGCACATTTGGTTGTGTGCAGTGGTGAGCTGTGACACAGTGACAAGGAGTTCACTTTCCTTCCTTCCTTCCTTATCTGTGTCTGAGTCAGTGCAAAAAAAGAAAATTGTGGTCAGGTGATGTCTGATGTGTTGTGCCGTTAACACCGCTGCTCTAAAAAGCTGGTTTAGTTTCAGTGCTTTCAGAAATAATAACAGTGTTTGGGAATGGAAATTAGTCTATTGTGAAACAAGAAACACTTTTATTTATTTACAGGAACAACATATGTCTGACATCTGATTTAGAATTCTCTCTGCTGTGTTTTCTCTCCTTTGTATTTTTACTCTCCCATCACTCTCTTCTGTTCCTCTGTGGAATATTTCTTCTCATCTTTGTTATAAATTTTCATCCTGTCTTTCTGTGTTTACATTTCCCTCCATGTCGAAAAAACCCACCTGATTCTCTGCCCGTACAAACCATCCCAGTTGAATTTGACAGCTGTGGACTGGAGCCAGCTAAGAGTGTCTGAAGTACGGAGGCTCTCTGGTGGGAAAGTCCTGCAAGTATGTGCCCGACCTAGCCCTCATGTCTTTCATCCTCTTCTTTGGCACCTACTCCATGACAATCACCCTGAAGAAGTTTAAGTTCAGCCGCTACTTTCCCACCAAGGTGCGAAAACTTTCTCGCTATGTTTTTCTATCTTCAAGTAAAATCACAATAAAGTTTAATACCACTTCAGTGCATACATGGTAGAATTAAAGATGGAACTTAATGTAAAAAAAAAGAAAAAAGATTTGTTTCAATGCAGTACATTGTTTTGATGGAACTAGACTTTCATAATTAGTTTATCGGAGATGCTGATGTAACCACAAACCCCTGTACGTCGAGGACATCGTAAACATTTTTAGCAGTCCAATGACAATGACAAGTAGTTCACGTTTCTTCCTTCCTTTAAAAGTACATTTCCTACCTTGTTGTGTAATACTCTCACCATGACTTCTGAATCACTTTCTAATGTTGATAGGTTATTTGTACTAGACCCTGCTCCATGTTCAAGTACAAAATGTTTTGGAGGTCTAAAAATGCTGTTTCTTAGATAACAAAAAGAAGAAATTTAACAACGATAATAGGTTTTTTAAAAATTACAACACCAAGCACTGTAGAATACATAGTATGAACTCTTTAAGCCGTTCCAGCCATTCAATGAATGTAAAGGTGCTGCCACCCACAGGACAAATGCTGAAATTACGTATTTAAGTTCTTTTCTTTCTCTTTCTTTTCTTTCTTCTTTTTTTTTTTTTTTTTTTTTTTTTTTTTTTTTTTCATGTGCCTTGCAATGTTGGTACAGTAGCAGAGAGAAGCTGCAGGATCCCGTTTGTGTTACCTGACATGTTGCCCACCCTTGTGTGGTTAAAAAGGGTCTAAATGACTCACCGAGATACAATATTCCTCAGGGAGTTTAGGGATTATTATTTGAGCTAAAGTTTACCACAGGTATGAAACATCTGTTAGTCACACAGTAGATCTTAAGTGTCTACTGTTCAACCATGTCCTTTTTTAAATTATTATTTTTCTTGAGGCAGCTGCAGCTCAAATTCCCTTTGTCCTGTAGCACCTCTCATTAGCACAAGTCCATAATATTCCACTTTACTGCTTAATTTGTATTTATACCCTACTATATACCACTGTATACAATGCTATATACTACTATACCTGTTACAAACTGACATGGCAGGAAGTAGACAGGAGCCAAATGCAGCAAGGGAGACTCTCTTCAGGTGCAGCAGGTTTATTCACAAAGTGCCAAAACAACAAAAAAACTCACAGGAACAAAAGCATCAACTGCACAACATGGTCTTCTCCACAGACATGGATTTCTACCACTGAACACAAACAGCAAACAATGAACCCAAAAACACAGCGTGAGGGAGAGAGGTATATACATACCCCGGCCACCAGGTGACACCAGTGAGACTACTGAGCAGAGACACAGGTGAGTGTGATGACACTAATTCCACCCAGCAGACAAGACAGGAAGAGGAAACAGACAACCCTAACAATACATGTATTTAATTTTTAATTTAATTTAATTTAAAAATTATAACAGTTTATTTATCTATGCTCCATTCAAGTTAAATAGGTTGGATGGAATAATTTTCTTGTTTTTGCGGTGTCATCCATCCTACAGTTTATGTAGGCGGTTCCCTGAAGACCATCTGCTGAGAAACTGGTTGTAATATAACTTCTTTACTAAGGAGGGCGCCATAGTACCAAAAACCTTTATCCTAACTGTGACGAAAAAACGTTTAATGTGTATTTTCCTCCACTCTGTTGGAACAACAATTATCCTCATTACCAGTGTTATTTCAGTGTAGTGGGTCTAGCTTCTTACAGCACGAACTTGTGTTTTAATTTCACCTACCATAAATGAAAACATCGGTTTTCTAATCATTAGGGAAAACATGAGCTGCTGCGGGTTATTTTTTTTGGTTGGGGGCGTTGGGGGGTTCAACACTTGGTCAGATGATATCTCACCTCACATGCTATCTACTCTGATCTAAGTGGCAATATGTACCAGGAGGCTGTGACCCAATTCTTTTCAGCAGACACTTCAGCTCAAGGAACTTCGTTTGCAGCCATTTATGGTCAATGATCTGGCTCTAATGTGTTTTATCTTCATCCCTTTGACCTCCAGCAAAGTCTCACATACAAGATGTTCATAATGTAAAGGAATAACCTAGATATAGGTATGTCTGGGTCCAGTCAAACTGTTTCTCTCATCCTGTAAAATATTTTTACATTAAACATTTACATTAAATTGGCTTTGTTTTTTGCACAAATACATGTAATGATTAAAAAAACAAACGGTAAAAAATATAATTTAAGTAACAGACAAGACTCGTCCAGTGGTATACATGTAAAATGTAAAACGACAGAACACACATTTATATGGATCTAATGCAGTGTTTGTTCCATTTACTTACTGTGGACAAACGTGAATACTTACTGAGGCCAGAGATTTCGCCTTCAGTTATAGGAAAGAATTTAAAACGCCATTAAAAAAAACAACACTTTTAAACTATCTGTTGATATATGAATTCAAAAGTCAATCTGAATTAAAACGTTATTGTTAACATTATTATAAGATGAAACAAAACTACAACAAAAAGATACCAAAGAGAACCCGGGGAACACGTCCCTAAAAAAACAAGCAGATCAAGCGTCTAATACTGCAGAGATTTGACGACAATGATATTGGTGAAATTCATCATGCAGGATAATTCTGATCGAAGGGCTTCAGCCCTCGGTCACAGATGAGTGTGCATGTGTGTGCGTAAGAGAGAGAGAGAGAGAGAGAGAGAGAGAGAGAGAGAGAGAGAGAGAGAACCCACCAAAATATGGCACTATCGTTTTCAGCCAATCGGATCAGTTTGTAACAGGTTGCAGCTCGCGTCACAGATATCGTGGCGGGNNGGAAAGAGGTTGAAAAGAGGCATCCGGGACGCGCTCATCTGTTTCATTGGGAAATGGCACCGGTGTAACCGAACATAATGGGGAACCCGGGACTCCGAGACAGCGTGGACCCTGACCGACCGAACGCTCCTCAGAGCTCAACAATTCGATTGATCCCAGGATAAAGAAAACTGCGTCTGTGTCTGTGCTGTGTTTCCATTTATAAACAGACAGCAGCAGGAGCTGTGATTCGAGCTTCACTGGGAGAGAGCGACGTGAGTAATCAGGATCCAACTTGGAATTTGGAGCGTGATGGATGGATCGTCGATAAGAAGCAGCTCCGGTCAGTCCAGCCGAATCAGAGCAGGGTGGGTTCATCCTGACTAAAAAAAAAAAAACCTCCTCGGTTCTTCTCATCTGTTGGCTTCTTCTCGGTCCGGGCGACGATGTCCGCCTATTGCCTTGACCTGCAGACGTCTGCCGCGGTTTCAGCACCACTCGAGCTGGACAGCGACTGCATGGAGCCCCGGGACTCTCCCGGCTCCGGGGATCAGGAACTCGGCGGCGGCTTCCAGCCTCACCCGCTGCGGAACCCCGGCTCTGGAGGCCTTGGTATGGCCCTGGAAGAGGAGCTGGCCATGCTGACCCGTGACAGGAGCAACGAGGACGGGGAGGAGAAGCTGCTATCGCCGGAGCTGGAGACGCCTGTTGTGGGTCACAACGCAGATTTACTGTCGCTCTTCCNNAGAGAGACTTGGTTTTAGCTGCTAAACTGGGAAAAGCTTTACTAGAGAGGAACCAAGACTTGACGAAGCAATATGAGAAAATGCACAAAGACCTCAATGAGAAATTAGAGGTAAAATTAAAAAAAGAAAATGTTACTTAATGTACGTTCAGTGCTGTCACAAGTCTATTTCTGCTTTGGCCCGAAAAAGATGATAATCCTATAATGAAGTTCGAGTCATCACAGTGTAAACAGAGAACTGGGACGAGTGCAGCCTGTGGAGCTTCTTAACAAACATTTGAAACTGTTTCCACTCCTTCATTATGACTTTTGTTATAATATTAGAGAAAAGCTCGTTTGTGTTCATAGCATTTATTTTAAATTAAGTTGCTAACAATTATTAGTCACACTTTTAACTAGTGTTAATAATACTTTAGTTTGATTATGCTGACTAAGGGGTTTATCTGTAAATGTAAACTACTGCTAATTTAAGATCACTCCACTCTCTTTAAACTATTAACATACATTATGCTAATGTTCAGACATTTATATTCATATATATATAATATTTTGTTTTAACGATGAGTTATTTTTTGAAGGGTTATTTGTTTGCTGTCTTTCTGTTGCTTTGTCACAATTCAAGCTATGTTTGCACATCCCCATGCAGTTATTCTTATCTTAACCTGTCCTAACAACTTTAACCTGGTTCTTTATTATCGTCTAAATCTTAATTGTAGTCATATGTCCTATTTTCTATTTCCTTTAACTACTGTTTTCTTTTTACACTTTCATTTGTGTTTTGATTTACATTGAACCCCCTTAAACAACATTTTACAATCTTCTAGCATCATAATGAGTCAACAGACTGTCTTAGGCTTTTCCCAATGTTTTTTTTTATTATTTGTTCAAGAGTGGGTGGTTTTGATTTAATTAAATAGATTGTTAAGCACTAAATACAGTAGTGTAGTTGCTCTGAGCTTAATTAATTAATTAATGTCTTGAGTTTTCACACACACAAAATGTGTCAGGCACAGGAAATTATATGTCTGCTAAATAGAAATAGACAACAACAGTCACTGTAATTCTGAATTTAAGTGACATGACCACTGTGAGCATGTGTGTCTGAGATACTTTGGTATACAATTAACACAGAAAGGTCCACATCTGAGGTGTTGTTTTTATTAATACGGACAAACACGTGGCCTGTAACACAAAGACTAATCCTGTGCCTGTCCTCAGCCTGTCAGCTGTACATCTGTTGAGCACTTTGATCCATATTCATTCTGCCGGTGCAGCTCAGGGAATAAGGCTCCTCCTGGTTATTAATGATGTTGTCACAGCTCTTGATACCGGGTCCTGAGAGCTGTCCATGTTTTTCGCTCTTGTTCTGAATCTCTTTGATTCGTCTCCATGACTGGTTTTGTGCCCAAAGATGGAAACACTGAGCACAAAGATGTCAGCTGCTCCTGCTCTAATAATAATAACAACAACAACAACACACCTTAGATCTAGAAAGGAACAGCCCCAGAGCATCTGCAGAAGAACGTCATATCATCTCAACTTTTAGGTTTTTTCCTGCTCTTGCAAATATTCATTAAAAAGACTTGACAACATGTTCATTATATTCATGTTATATTATATTCAACAGTCAACATATTCTCAGGTTGTTTTTGTTAATTGTTAATAATTATAATCCAGTCATATCAATTAATGAACCACTAGTTCCAGTAACTATACAGACATTTTTATATATGAATCATGTTGAACACAATCTAACGTTGCCTTTTTTCCCTTGTATTGACATGCAGCACTTGGAGCAGGAGAAGCACGAGCTGCGACGGCGTCTGGAAAGTCGAGAAGGCGAGTGGGAGGGGCGCGTTGCCGAGCTGGAGACGGACGTCCAGCAGCTTCAGGAAGAGCTGGAGAGACATCAGGTTCAGCTAAGAGAAGCGGACAGGGACAAGACCAAGGCCATTAGTGAGCTCTCTGAACAGAACCATAGATTGCTGGAGCAACTTAGCAGGGTAAGTAAGGAACTGCTTGTGTGTGTGAGTGAGTGTGTGTTTGCTAAGTGAGGCATGAGTTGAAGGTATAAAGTTGGTTTAACTGCTTGTATAGTCATTTCACTTTTCTTGTTTTTTGTGTTACTCTTGAAGTTAGTGGATGAAAGATGAGTCTTCATACTGAACTTTATAATCTGGCTCCACCTCACTACTTTTGGACACGGGATATAAACCTAAGGTGCTGGCTCCAAAAAATAAATAACTGGATTCTTCTTTATCTCTAATATACAAAGCTTCATAAACAGCAGTAGATGAACCATGGGAGGGTGCGGTCTTACACACATACACACCACATTTCCGTGTGGTCTACTCTGCAGGTCTTTCAGTCCACCTCCTGAGCGGCTGACATTATATAGGTTGCTCAGCCAAGTGGAGGGTCATCGTTCCCTGGAGCATCAGGGTTTTCCCCCCTCCTTTCAGCCTACTTTATCCCACTAACGTCACCTGAATTCTGCCGACTCATCAGTATGAAAATGGAGGTTCCAGGTTTTATTCTGAATATTTTAAAATGATTGGAGTAAAAACTTACGCAATAGCATTATGCACATTGACAGGTAATTTGATTGCAGCCTAGTTTGACTGGCAAGGTAAAGAATAAACAAAATGGAAGGGATTTGAGAAATTAGAGTACACACTGTACACAAATGAATATACAGGACGAACAAATGAAGTCAACGTTAGACTCTCTTTGGTGTAAGATTTGAAGACGTCAAATTTGATGCACAGGGCTGCTACCAATCAAAGCACAAGCTTTGCAGATCTAGCTTTTTAATCACGTCCATCCACACCAGGACAGGGACAAGTAATGCATGCAGAGTAGACAAAGGTACAGTACACAGAAATTAGTTGCTTGACTTGGTTAAAAAAAAAAAGAAGCTAATGTTGCTTTGCTCACGGTCCTACAGGGCAAGGAATGCTGTTTGTCTGAGTTTATGAGGTGAGATATAATAATATAGTTTGATGTATTTTTTATTCTGTGACCTGGTTAAAACCATTTACATAATTAGATAATTATTTTAGATTAATTATTATTAATAATTAAACATCTAAATGTTTTAATCTTCTAATACGGAAGAAAGTGTGTGAAGCTGTGACTTTTTGGATGTAATGACACGCCTGGCGGAGCAGGGTGAATGCCACGACTGCTGCCACAGCTGCCCAGAGCTGTTTACACACAGTCTGTACAGGTGCTAATGATAACTCCATCAGTACAGTGGTCCATGGTAACACTCACACTTCTGGGTATTGTTTTACCTCTAGAGAGAAAAAAAAAACATGATCTGCTGCTGGGTACATACTGTTCAGACAGGAGACTGATTCCAGGCCCCACTTCACCACAGTGCGCAGCAGCATCTCCTCCTCCACCTGTGTCATTACCAGATTAAAACAGCCTGCAGCTCCATTGTTCTACCACCACCTCTTCATAACCAGCACAGGTTGTCAGTCGCTGTCTAGATTGCAGCAAAAAAACAGACACTTAGTAAAATTAAAATGCATTTAATCTAACTGAAACCTGTTTGAAGGAAATCCATTAAGATATGTTCTGAAAGTGGTCTGCATTATACTTTGTGAATGGGGGGATTAAGGTGGGGTAAACATCTTGTTGCCCCAAAGACTTACTAGAATTCATTAGATTTAATTGACTCTATTGATCCAGATGATTTAGAGCAGGCAGAGAGAAAAACCTGCTGGGTAATAGAATTAATTGGGTCAAGCCCAGTGTTTTTGCTCTCTCTCTCTCTCTCTCTTTAACTCTGGGTTCATTGGCTCATTGCTTAGCAATGGGCTGTGACTAAGTAATGATATCTGTTGTAGGAGAAAGACCCACACAGTTTAAACGATAGTTCTCTAACCTTTTATAAACTTATAATCAAGCCTGGTAGTTTTGGAAACGTATTCATTAAAACTACCATAACAACAAATCTGGAGGCCTGGAAACATGAGATTGATGTCTGTGATTGGTGACACTGACGTGAGTCATGGAAACTAATCGTCATCTTTTACAAAGAAGAGCAATGCCTCACTTGTTAACCCTTTTAACCCCTAGACCCAATGTGTCTTTGTGTCTGTGTGTGTGTGTGTGTGTGCGTGCATGAGTATGTGTGCGTGTGCATGTTCCTGTACTGCATGACTTGTGTCAACTTTTCCTCATATTCATTAATACTCATATTCTGGGACAAAATTAAAATCATTGCAAGGACAAACGGTGTGTATAAAAATGTGAAGGACAAGGGTTAACACGGTCTCTTAATTGGCTATAGTGTATTGACCTTGCTGGAGAAGACAGGAAGTGATGTAAGACATGCAGTTAATCCAACTGTTAAAAGGGGATTGGGCTATAATCCCCTCTAATTCCATGTCTTGCCATATGCATATATTTGAAAAACAAAGTGAACTGAACTGAACTCCAAAGTATACACTGACTGATAAATCGCTCTAGATCCATTTCATATAACAGTGTGTGTGTGTGTGTGTGTGTGTGTGTGTGTGTATGAAGTTTTGTTTCTTATTCTGCACCCTTTTCCACTGTTAGTGATGTTTATCTAATAGTGACCAAACGGGTTGGTTGATCAACAGTGTTTGGAGATTAGTTTACAGCTGCATGCTAAACATCATGATTCTAATGACCAACCCAAACCCAGATAAATAAGGTGAGGTCATGTCAGCAAAGACAAAAAGTCCACATTTGATTTTAAAAGAATGTTTTAATGACAGAAGGTCACTTGTGCCAAACTGCAGTGGTCAGTCAGCCTTCAGGTTGACCAGTCTTCTGTCTTCATTACCTGCGCTGTGGCTTAGAGGATTTGTTATGTAACCTCCTCAAAGTGGGATTGCCCCTCCTCTTCCTCTTCCTCCTCCTCCTCCTGCTCCTCCTCCTTCTCTTCCTCTTCCTCTTCCTCTTCCTCTTCCTCCTCCTCTTCCTCCTCCTTCTCCTCCTCCTCCTTCTCTGACTCTCGACCATGCAGTTCCCTGAGAGAATGATAAAAGAGAGCATGAAAAGCTCTGAGACCGCAAGTCACCACTCCACCAATAACATAACCTCCTGGCTGCCATGACAACCGCCAGAGTGACATGCAAATTGTAGCCTTGCTATGTTGTTTCCATGGGAATGCGCTGTAGTCACAGGAGTATAGTTTAGGTGAAGACCTATGATGCACCTGGAGCAAACACAGAACAGTAACTCAATCAACATGATAGGATTGAAGTTTTGTGATGACTCATCCTTCTCTCCTGCCCGCCCATCTGTGAATAGTGATGTGTGTGTCTCCTCTTTTTGTTAAAGTTTTACTGTACCTTACTACCCGAAAGTATTCAGACTTTAAAGAACTTCTAGGAAGTTCAGCTCATTGGGCCAATATTACTGTTTATTAGATTATTCTATTAAAAGAAACAGAAACAGGTTTTTATTATGCACTTTAAGTAGTAGTTAGGACTTATGATACATTATGATACACATGTCTACGACAGCTGTCAATCACCAATGTCTGACCATGGTGACAATATGACCAGAGTACTCAACAAGGCTCACCCTGTTCTATGGAGCTGTACACCCTCAACAATTCTTGAGCCAAAGCATGTTAAAATGTTTTAGAAACATCAGGTTATGAGTATGAGACAGTAGTACTGCTGCTCCTCAGACTTTTATTTACTACGTAAAGTACATTAAACTGTATAAGTTCATTAAACTGGTGTCAGAGAAACCAGTCTGGTCTGACCTGCTCTTCCCAACACTTCATGGGCAGATTAAGAGACTTTCTACCTACCAGACCAGCTGCAGTCGACTGGTAATTTTATATATGACCTCAGTCTGTCTGATTGTGGGGTCAGTGGGTCAATGGTCACATGACTGACTACGACTGGTCTCTGCAGGAGACTTTACCGGCTGCACATCTGTTGAGCTGAGCAAACAGCTGTTCACTTTAAACACATCCGGTTATAAATACATCTAAAGATATACTGATGCCAAGTAATGCAACACAGGATGTCTGTCCACAGTGTTACTACATGTTACAATGTTAACACGAGACACTTTATTTGTTTTTATTTACAGATTTATTATATTATAATTCTTATAAATCTTTGTGTATTGGAGTACAAGTGATTGTTTATGTTTTGGATTCATTTACCAACTGCTTTACTACAAAAAGAAAACCCCTAACCACACCCTTACGAAGTGATAACTCTGACCTCAGAGCCCTCGTGGAGGACTATTGGCACAGGTGATCCATTAATGATTTATGCTCTTCGGTGAAGAACCGGGGCAGCAGTTGCTATATGCATAGTCTCTCCCATCTCAGCAGCTGAAGCTTGTAACTCCTTCAGAGTAGTCCTAGGGGTCTTGGTTGCTTCTCTCACTAGTCTCCTATTTGCACGGTCACTTAGTTTACGAGGGCGGCCTGATCAAGGCAGATTCACACAAGTGCCATATTCCTTCCATTTCTTGATAATGGATTTCACTGAACTCTGGGGGATGTTCAATGCCTTGGAATGTTTTTTTTTTTGTATCCATCCCCTGAATTGTACTTCTCAATCACCCTTTCCCTGAGTTGCTTGGAGCGTTCTTCTGTCTTCATGGTGTAATTGTGGCCAAGAATACTGATCCACCAGTCTGGACCATTCGGACACAGGTGTTTTATACCTCAATCACTTGAAGCACACCCACACCACTCAGGTCATCTTCATTTCACTAATTGTGAGACTATTGGCAAGAATTTGATGGACCTCTATTGAATTAGACCATTAACTAAAGGGGGTGATTAATTATGCAAACAATTATATTTCTTTATATATTTTTATTTCATTGACATTATTTTGTAGAAATCTGTTTTCACTTTGACATTAAAGAGTTTTTTCCAATAAATTCTTGTGTCAAAAAAGCCAAATTTTATTGCCATGATTGATTTATGAAAGCTCTAAAAGGGTAAAACATCCAAGGGGGTGAATACTTATGATAGGCACTGTATATGTATTATTGATTTTTCTGATTTTGAGGAAATCCTGGAAACTTAGTCCAGCTAACGTAACCTTGACTTATTTGGTTTTCAAATAAATGTACCTCTTGTGATGCTTGCTGAGCGGTGGAAATATGAGTCAGGTTGAGGATGCTGCCGTTGCCATGGCAATCATGGATAGAGCGTTAGCAATACTGATTCCTGAGTATAGTTTTGAGTTAATGAAGGCCAACCAGAAACTGAGAGTTTCTGCTCCCACATGTCCAATAAAGTTTAAATAATGCAGCTCTATTAGGTCAGAGTGAAGGCTCTCCAAAAGCACAATGACAGTGAAGTAACACAGAGCTTTTAGGAACTCGTACTACAGAGGAAGTGAGCAGCAAGGCAGAGCAACTGAGTGTGTGGTATAATAAATAATATTCTTTCTCTTCACTAAAGGTGTGTGGGATTACTGTGAATAAAAAGCAGACCTGTGTGAGGTGAACACTGTTGACCTGTGGTGTGTTTCATGTGTGTACAGGCTGCAGAGGTGGAGAAGCAGCTGTCCACTCAGGTCCATACACTACGGGATGATTTCAGGGAGAAGAGTTTGTCTACAAGTCAACACATGACACGGCTGGAGACTCTACAGGCTGAGGTGAGACACTACAGCTTTTTATCCTCTTCTATGCCATAATATAAACTATAAATACAAAAATCTACACCAACTCCAAAAAACTATATCCGTGGCCAAAGCATTACTCTTCCTATCTCCAGAACGTTCTTATTAGTGTAAAAAAAATTAAAAAAAAAAAATTCAATTACTCAATTTGACTCAAAGAAAAGAATGAGAAAAGAAATTCAGAAAAAATGCCTGATGAATGGCTCAACAAATAGCAATCTGCATGAAATCTAATATTTTTCCGTAATGCATTTTTCACAGGAGGAGGTTTCACGGTTTGATCATCAATATAGATCAAAATATCACATAATTTATTTCATCTTTAATGAGACCCTTACTCTTTGCATTTCAATTAAAACTAAAACTCAGAATACATCAAATAAGATTTTTTTAAAATTATTAACCGCAGATGTATTTTTGGTTGCTGTCAGTCTGAAATATTATCTTCATCAAACTATTATCAATTTTTTTTAAAGTATTTTAACTGGTAATACTGGTCATACTATGATAACATAGCATGTGGTGATGTTTTTTCACAACTTTTTGACAATGAAACATTTTCTCCAGTTTTTACCATGTTTATCTTTTCCTCCTCTTCACTTGTTTGGGGCAGCAAGGGCTAGAAGTGAGTGGTTACTGAACCTTCTCTCTCTCTCTGCATCTGACTGCATGCTGCATGGAATGTCCTGTGAAATATCAGAAACAAGGAATGTATCAGGATTTTTTCCTGCACGAAAACCTACACCCATGTTGTCCAGTGATGAGTTCATCTGAAGTCCAAACATAATGTTGCAGACAAGTGGTTCCAAGTAGAAATTTTCTGAAACACTCATAACTGTTATTATCATGTTTAACTGATCCATCGTGGAACAACTGCAGTCCTTGTTTCCTGGTGTTGTGCATGAAACATCAGTCATTGAGGCCTGGAGTTTGACAATTGTGCTTTAAGAACATTCTTCTCCAAAACTCTCCACCGACATTTTGCTAATTAGCTAGCTTTCTGGGCTAATGTCTGACCTTTTTTCCCCTTGCGGTATGTTATGTCTTGGGTAATGTAATGTGGCTTAGTTGTTAGCATGTTCAAGTGTCTAGGGCTAATCTTTAGCTGTTTTTGGTTAAGCTATTAAAACCTTTTTTTTTTCAAACTTTGGTAACATACTGTAAGGTTTTTGTATACACACACAAAACGGATAATTTTAACAAATTTTACATTTTACTTTTCTTTAAACCTACTTTTTCAAATTTATTTTTGGGAAAGACTTACAATCCGACAAAGGCTGAGCTGTCAAAGCAACTGTTGTTTGAAGTCTCTGACTTGGTTTTTTTTTTTCTTTTTCCTGAATTTATAAAGAGTGCACCAGGCAGCTGACAGCTGAAAGAAATTCATTAACAATTTTATGTCGAGAGTGTAAACAGAGAAGAGAGTTTCCTCTGTAGTTTATCTTTCAAAGCTGAACAGAAAACACCCTGCAGACTGCAGAGACTGTGCTATAATTGGCAGAAAAGGCTTCTGCTCTAAATTTGTCTGAGATGCTGCAGTGTCTGGGTCCTCCCTCTAGTGCTGTACTGTATCTGTATACTGGAGCCATACAGCTATTAGCTTCATTTATGTTAAGACAGTGGCTACTGCAGAACCAAATAACATCCAAAAACACTGATCACAAAAGCTCAGGTGTTTGTGAAGGGAACTGATCCTTATTTTAACTATCAGAAATAGGACAAACAGGCAAGGCAGACAATCTCGTAAGAATTTATCCAGGTTTAATGGAGACACACTGTTCCGGCCACTTAAGACGAAAAAATGGTCTATAAGGAAGAAGCTGTGATGCTGATGGACTGACCTTCACTGAAAGGCTGTAAATGTCAGGGTATTCAGTTGATAGTAACCTCACCAAAACATTCCTGAAGACGAGGGTGGCCACGAACGCCTACATTTTGCTAGGCAACGAACATTCTTCAGAGCAGTGGGAGTCGGTTATAGTCTGGTGTAGGAGCCCAGCTCCACTCACAGACAGACAGAAAAACAACAACAACCTGGCTGATACTCTAACACTTTGTCTCTCCATCTGTATTAATATAGTTTTGTAAAGAAACCAAGACCTTTCTATTCTGTGTTGTTGGAGGCTAACTTTTTCCGTTTGATGTGTTAGATTAAGATGCTTTCAGAGAGGAAAATGGAGCTCGAACACCGCGTTCACGCCGTGCTGGAGGAGAATGAGTTGCTTCAGAGCACAGTGGACGACCTCAGAGAGAGGACGCTGGTGTTAGAGAAGCAGTGCAATGAGAAGGACCTACAGGTAATCGACACGTTACAGAGAAACTGTTAGATCTTCAGTCTCCTCCACCACGTGACTGTTTTATATTTGGTGTTTAAAGTCACTTTCATTGCTTTCAGAGAGCAGTTGTTCAGATATTTACACTATTCATCCCGACCAGTTTGTTTTTCCAACTGGTGGTGACACCAACCATTCATTTTCAAAACCAGCACACACACATATATCGCCTTGAAAATATAGTTAAATATAGTCTTTTTTTGTGGGTTGGCTGCGCTTCTACGTGACAACTTTGGTCATAAATGTCACTTAATGACTGGTTAAGGCTCTTTCTCCAACAGTAAACGATGACAGAGGAAAAGTGCTGATGCAGCTCAACTTTCTGGTTGAATATAATGTAGTTATATATCATTCTGGTCTAAGGAAAATTAAGTTGAGAGTTTTCTTCCATTCACCCCGAGAACTGGGTTGGAAACCGATTGTTTACTGTCACGGTGAGCCATCGACATGGCAGGAAGTAGGCAGGACCCAAATGCAGGACTGGTGCAGGCAGTTTATTTCAAAAATCAAAATTCACAAAATTCACTTCCAAAGACCAGGATAAAAGCATACGCAGAGCCCAGCAGAGCTGAGCACAGCAACAGACTTGACCCACAACACAACACAACACAACACAACACAACACAACACAACACAACACAACACAACACAACACAACACAACACAACACAAGGCCAGAGTGAGGGAGAGAGGTATATATATATATATATATACAAAGAGCAGCAGGTGGCAGGAGTGAGGCTAATTGCAGAGACAGGTGAGTGTGATCACACAGATTACTCCACACAGCAGACAGCAGGAACAGGAGACAGACAGACCTGACAGTTTACACTGTTAAGTTTAGCCTCTTTGGTTTTGTTCAGTTGCGACAGAGCCATCTGGAACTCCGAGAGGTTCAGGTGTCCCATAGACAACTGACCGTCCGACTGGAGGAGTTGACAGAGGAGCACAGTCTGCACAGCATTACACCACACCCATCCAGTCTACTGTGTGAGATAGAGCTGAGCATGGAGCAGGAGGAACAGGAGCAAGAACGGGAGCAGGTATTCATTATCACCTACTCACCTACGCTACAGTTATTCACCTAACACAGTCTTGGATCAGTCACTACTCGATCTGCTGATGGACGATCGGAAGTACAGTTAGTCTTCCTAAAAAAATTAAAAACATTTTTAAATTAATTAGATATTAATTTTTAAGTTTTCAGATTAATAGTTGGAATGGATAAAATTGTAGCAGAAAAAAGTGGCAATAAGTTAAAGAAAGTTATAGCTAAATATCTCAGCATAAAAGACACAGAATGCTAAGCTTTATGTATAACTGAAGCTTTGAAATGGCTAAATGTTAGCAGACAGTACAATTTTGCCATCCTTAATAAACATAAAAAGCCAATGATTGGTTAATAAATGTGTATTCTTTGAGATGTTTACATACCGGTGGTTTAAAGTTAGCCAAAAAATACAAAAATCTTATCATTAGGGGTTTTTTTTTGTATGTATTGTGTAACTGAATCCTATTCTTCTTCAGCTGCGTCTTCAGTTGTGGGAGGCCTACTGTGAGGTCAGGTCACTCTGCTCTCATCTCCGGGGAAACGACATCACGGACTCAGCACTGTCTACCGATTCTTCGATGGATGAGTCCTCAGAGACGTCCTCAGCCAAGGATGTGCCTACAGGAAGCCTCCACATCAGCCTTCTGGAGCTGAGGAGACTCACACAGAACCTGCTGGACGGCAATGAGTCTACGGTAATAAAGTCTACACCTGCTGTGGATAGAAGAATTTCACAAGGCTGATCAGGCAATAACCTGGAGGCCCAAACAGGGCCGATGATTAGGCCCTCAGTGAACTTCAGTGAAGCCCAGACATTTCAGTAAAGTTTTTTTTTTAGACTTGTGGTTATTGTCAGTTAGCTGCTGCTAACAGACAATAACTTTCACTCAGAGTGAAAGAACTAGCTTAATTCCACGTGTTAAATACAGAATGATTTAATTACGAGATCTCCTTGGTTTACAATGTCCTCAACCTACGGTGTTTTGTGATTACGTTGCCATCTCCCATCAATTCATACAGAAAGACTTCTTCATTCAACCTGATGTACGGGGTGAAGACAAATTCCACACAGGAACTAGTTGGCAGCATGGTTGACTACTATATTGTCGCATGATGCTATACGCAGAAGACGGTTTTGTTTACATTAACTGGTTGCATTCCATGTTGGATTGTGCTACAACTACTTTCTTTTGTGTGTGTTGTTTTTCTGAGAACTTTTTGACCTTTGTTGTGGCTTCCAAGCTTAAGTCAGACACTTGATGTTTTTATGTTCTAGAACAGGGGTGTCCACACATTTTAAGCTTGGGAGCTACTTTTCAAATGACCAGGGTAACGTGATCTGCCTACATTGAAAACTATAAATATATATTCACTACTTTGATTAAATGGCTGTAGTTGTATGGCACAATATCATCTGACTCAATACTTCTATGGTCCTTACTTTAGCTCTAGTGATGAGCATCTTAAAATAGAATCAAATCTATCATTTTTAAATTGTTTTGTCTCCTTAAATGAAATTGCTCAGGATCTACCAGCACTTGCTTTGAAATCTACCGGTAGATCCCGGTCTACCTTTTGGACACCCCTGTTCTAGAATATAATGTTACCACTGTGTTTGCGTAGGTGAGTGATATAGGTACAGTTCTGAGTTCTTACTTAGGTTGAAAATCGAGTATTGTCATGATGTATTGTAAGGGTGTTCTATTGTGTCATTGTTTGTATTGTGTGTTGACAGGGTTCACGGCGCAGTGATGAGGAGGCGTTGGAGGAGCAGGTGAGAAAGTTGGGAGAAGAACTGAGGGAGGTTAGGGAGCTGTATGAAGCTGCACAGCAGAGAACTTGCTGCAGTGAAGGAGAGGTGCTGCAGCTGCACAATCAGGTACCAGCGGTTGCACCTGGATGTGGATGTAATGATGTTGGGTTGTGTGGTTTGTGATGTAGGACACTTTGTATTATCAATCTTACCCACAGATGGCACTTCTCTCCGTGGAGATGTGTTCTCTACAGGAGGAGAACAAGCAGATGAGGACAATGGCTGAAGTTCGAGAACCCAGCGAACAGCTCCAGAGCGCCATCCGAGACAGGGATGAAGCCATAGCCAAGTAAGATCACATGGAGTATAAAAATGTCCACTTAGAAATTCTTGTCGGTGACTTTTCATATATGAAGAAAAGTGTTATTTAAAATGAATTGCAGGAGTAAAGATAGGCTGAAGCTTAAATATATGTAATAATTAACTTAATTCACTTATTTATTATATGTATGTGATGATTAACTACAGTGAAGATAAGTCAAGTAAACCAAAAAACTTTGGGGTTTTTTGTTGTTCCTTCTTTATGAAATTAGGTTGAATTGAATGAGTTTTTTTTGTTTAGCAAAATAAATAACATGTGGCACAAGCTGAGCTTTTTCTAAAGATAATAATCATTCATCCATCTTTGTCTCTTTCAGAAAAAAAGCAGTGGAGATGGAACTGGCCAAGTGTAAAATAGACATTATGTCTCTGAATAACCAGCTTTTGGATGCCATCCAGCAGAAGCTTAACCTGTCGCAGCAGCTGGAAGCCTGGCAGGTGAGTCCAGAGCTTTTAAATGTCATTTAAATGGTTAAACAATTCTCCTGGGTTTTATTGAAATTATCTTTCTTCAACAGAATGCATAAAATTATNTCAATACTATTTGTATCCCAATATACGTATATATTTATATTCAAAACTTAGCCACTTAGCTCTGGCTATGTTTTGTATATAAAATAGAATCTCTGTAGTAAATACAATGCACTATTATAATTTAGAGAGACAGACAGACAGACAGCTGGATAGATGTATAGATAGACAGAACTTTATTAATTCCTCAGAAGTTACCTTTGGGAAATTTAGGCTCCAGTAGCAGTACAGCAACAAAACAGTAAAAACACACAAATGGGTAAAATACAAACACAAACATTAGTAGCAGCACACTTGTCAATGACAGTGGGAAAACCTAGTAGATTAGTAGAAGTAGATAGATAGCGTTAGTAGTATTAGTAGGTAATTATAGTTGCCGTGTGTAGTGTTGTTGATTGTAATCTCAATTATTATTTACTATTATATTTGAATTATACCATTATTAACAATTACTACACAATACTAATTTAACAGAGAGACTAGCAGAACTAGTATAGTTATAAGATGTTAAGTGAACAGGTATATAAATAGTTTAAATTTAAAAGTGTAAGAAAGAAAACATTTTAAATATTCAGTGTGAGGACACTGTCACTCCTCTCCTCTCCTGTCCTGTCCTGTCCTCACCTCGTCTCCTTACCTCACCTCACCTCCCTAACTAGCAGCTCTTCTTCTCTCTTCCCCCCTGCCCACAGTTTGCCTCCTCAGGGCTCTTTACTGTTTGGCTCTTGTGGTTTCTGATCTAGTGGCCTTTCTCAGCTTCTGTACCACCCTCTCTCCCCTGTGGTACCTCCCCCCACCTGCCTTAGAGGTGAGACCAAGCGTGCCACCTTTACTTTTTACTAACTCCACTCCTGTGCCATGCTGAGCCATTCCATGCCACTGTTGAACGCCTCAGTTGAAATCCAAACTCATCCAAACTCAAACTATCATAATCCATCACTCTGATATTATCCTGATAGTCCATGACCACCTGCTTTTGTACTGTGTTCACAAACCTGCACTGTGTTCATTTAATGAGTAATGATGTATTCACTGTGATCACAACCATAGACTGTATTTAGGAAATGGACACGAACCGTCCAAGTGCAAAACTAAAACTGAGAAACAACAAAGGTTATTTCCAATTAAGTTGGTCTGTTTTATTGACAGAATAAATATATCCCTAAAAAAACAAACAGAGTTTTAACCTCTTAAAATGTAACACTGAAAGTATGGTTGCATAGTGTATCCATTAGCATGTCTGCCTTGCAAGCAGACAGGAGAGAGACCTAGGTTCCATTCCCAGAGGAACCACATATCCCAAATGGCACCTCCTGTGGCAGCCAGTTGTAATCACTCACACTGTGGATTTTCTAATATGGGACAAATAAGGGACTCAATTATTAATATGCTATTGGGAAAGTGTCACTGCAAAGAGCTTTAGATAATGTTGGGACATGGAACTATTAGGAGGTGATGTGGGGTCACCAAAAATTGATGCTGCTACTAAATTTTAAAAAGAAGTTATTATTTATTTGGTGGGGACTGCCCTGATTTGAAGTTGTAAGTCTTTTTTCAAAGTGAATATCAGTTTTGTTGGAAGTAAGTAAAGTGTTTATTTTCACTGAATGTTATGGAGTGCAGGGGCTCAGCAACAGCTCTATGTTCCATAAAGGAGCACTTTAGAAAAAGAACCACTGGATAAAGTATCTATTCACCGCCCATTTGTCATGTAAACATTTTCAGGTCAAAACCAGATGCTGGGCATCAGTCACAACTAGGTATTTAATCAATCAAATACAGCTTTTATTAGTCTGGGGAGGAAGTACAGGGACAAACATGAAATGCCGCTGGAGGATCCAGCTTGGGCTTCCAGTCCAAGATCTGTGACATTTGGGCCATGCAAAGAACCTGAATAATTTTACATTTTAAACATGACTGATTTTTAAATTCTAACCCTCTTCTACTCTAATCCACGTTTCTGTCCACAAATTCAGGATGACATGCACAGAGTGATTGACCAGCAGCTAATGGACAAACACCAGGACGAGTGGCAATCCCGCCCATCAAGGTCAATGCGGCCCCATGGTGGTCACTCCTCCAGACAGGTTCGTCACAGTTCCAACCAGGACAAGAGACTTTTCTCTTTTTTCAAAAAGAACTGAGCGTTGTCGGACTGACACCAGACGGAGATGACAGAAGGAGACAGAGACAGTTGTGGAGGATCAGGCGGGAGAAACAACGTAGCACTTGGGGGATGCCCCATACAGCCAGCCAAAAACAGGGCAGTGACACAGTAAGGTTGAGGTTTGGCAGGGGGGTGTCATTTTGCACTTTATCTGTTCCATTGCTTTTCTTCTGACTCACTGCTGAGTTGTCGTCTGTACAGACACTGACAAATTTCCTCAGAGGCTTTGGCTCTACTCCCCTCCCCATCCCTATATAGACAGATACCAGACTTAGTAGAACAACAACAGGGTCACAAGGTTTACCTCCATACAGGAGGGTCTTCTTGTAGTGCCTCAAACCATTTCTTTAACCCACTGCCAACTCCTGCACAGAGGGGAACATGACATACACAAACACACACGTCTACTGTATACATGCATACAGACCCTCACACACAAATACACTGTTTTTGGTGTGCATCATGATTGGGCCAGAGTTTCTGGGGAAATATGGGGGTCATGTGGTTTTTGGCGATAAGGTTACCTCTCAGGTTTATTCATGTGTCAGAATCTTCAGAACATAAACTACAGTTTCACATATCAGCACCACAGCAGAGGGTATTTTTGATACAAAGAAAATATATTTTAGAAACTACGCGTTGTTTTCGTTATCCATACAGAGAATTCTTTGTCATAAACTTTTGCACAGATAAACATACTACTTTTGCACACTACTAGAGCAAAGATTTTTTCTCTCAAGAAAGATATGCATGACCCAAGACACTAATGTTGCACATAAATTATGTTTTATATTTGTCATTTATACAGAGTCTATAACAAATGTGTGGGGCTAGAAGAGTTCTAAAGGACAGTGACTATTGAGTTACAATAATACTACAATAAAAACAATATGAACATTTAAATTAAAAAAAAAGAAAATCTGATATGGATATGATCTGGATATTGCAGTGATATTTGTCCTTTATGTTTATCATTTTTTTCCTGGGCACGTTAGCTTAATTTAGAAAACATCAGACCAAAGTGTTTTTATTCTAGTCAAAGTTATTTCTAAAACATCTTTACATTGTGAGTGAACTAGAAAGCACTTGGAAGCAGGAAAATCAGCATTATACATGTTCTAAACTGCGTTTGAGTTCATACTAACGTCCTGGTCTCACGTCAGGCCCAACCCTAGGTATATGTGTTGCCTTATGTTACAAATGAGCGCCATATTAAAACTACTACTTATGTACTTGTAAACAACGACCACTAGCGTTCACAATGGGTACAGCGCTTTATAGTTAATCATTTATATTTGAAACATTGTAAGTGAACCGAAACCCGTCCTAGGAGGTACCACAAATTCTTCATCTATAAATAAGATAGATAAATGTTAGTAGACATACAGAATATATTTCCTTCATAATGCACCTTCAATGTATGACAACCAGCACTTTGACTTACATGAGTCCCACATGTGTACAAGTGTTATGTTCTATTCTGACATATGAATAAACCTTTGGGTGACTCTCCTGTAGGACACTTTGCAGTATATTTTCATACATTCATTCTTTTTTTTTTTTTAAGGGATGGACATACAGTTCATGGTGTTGCCCTCATGATATCACTCATCTTTCTAGTTAACCAAATTTAAAAAGAAAAGTTTACATAGAAGCTGGAAATGGAGGAAGAACATACATTTGTGGAAAATTTAATTTTATGCTTTATGGAGGTTAGCCAGAAAAGTTAAAACATCAATAAAGACATAACAAGAACGTAGCCTGAAAGTTAGCTTAACATTAGCCGACAGTTACCCTTGAATTAGCTAAGGGTTGGCCAAATTGGCAAATTGTATTTATCCCAATTATATTAATAGTCAATAACTAATCAACTAAAACTCCTTACCCTAATTATTTCATTTGAATTAACTTTGATTAATTATCTTAAAGCTAACCCAAAGCTGGATGAAAGTGGGCCAAAACATACATACAAGTAGCATAAATTATATGTTTTATGCTAGTCATTAAAAAAAACTGTTATGTTTATTATCTTTTGAGTATTTTATTTGAATAACCTTGTATTTGATTTTGAAAGTGTTTTGGCTAGGCCTGAGTTCAAAATGTTAAAATGCTTTTATTATTTTCTATGCTATCTATTGGAAAAAGGTGGGTATCGAAAAGGCAGAAGCATAATGATAATATAAACTAATTATATAATTTAAAAGCCTAATGTGCTAAAATGTATAAATAATCTGGGAATCACCGGAGTTCACACATAAATATCTGAGCTAATTTCTTTCCACTACACACAAAAAAAAAATATCTACCTCCATTGTCACAGCTTCAATACTTCACATGCACTTTGATTTTTTTTTTCAAGTAGTCACACTTCCATTTTTTGGTGACATATTTGTGACTCCATCAGTGGATGGTTTGAGTGGACCTGAAATATTGAGAGTTGTGTGTCAGAGAGGCCTCGTGTGTGTCGGCCTGTGTTCAAACTCGTGCAGCAAACCTATGCAGATGTTTCCTCACTTCAGCTGGTTGTTGGTAAAGGATCAACCCAAAGAATGATTTTTACAATAGGTATGAATGAAATCAATATATTTATAAGGAATGTAAAAGCATACATTTTGATTGAGAACTTTAAAAAATATTTTCTAGCGAGAGAGAAATATACACCATTGAGTTGTAGATTGAAATTTATAGATTATTTTCTTGTTTGTGTTACATTATAGAATCACTAACATGCTTTTTTTTTCTCAGTCCTGATGACGTTTGGTCTCACTGTGTGGACTTCGCTGAGTACATTTTTTTATTCAAAGGGGTTTTTGTAGAAATCATTGTCTCTTTTTATAGAAAACTGTTGTGTGTCTCTGTGTGTGTGTGTGTGTGTGTGTGTGTATGCTGTCTGAGATTCTTCTTCTGTCATTAAATATTATTTTCGGAGCTTTTCTTTCAACCCATTCTTTCTCTGCGACAGTGCTTTCATTGACTATTTCAGTTGCAGTGTCAAACTATTCTAAATAGTTTTTCCTTTATTTTATTCGTGTTTTGGAATTTAGTTGTTTTTCTACAAATAAATGACTTTGCAATCCCCTGATTTACTGTTTACTAACTAAAACCACAGTTTTCTTTATGTTGGAGTTATGCTTCTATATGTGACCTGAGATGTCACAATGAAGTAAATACACAGTAAACTGAAGAGGTGTTGCAAAAATAAGACTGAAAAAAAAGAAAGATATATTCTGAAGATACATTTATCTTACTTGAGAAGTAAAAGAATGTCTGTAGGTAATACATTTTCAACAGATGCAATATTTAATTTTCATTAACCTTGTTAAATGGTTACTAGAACTTGGATAGAGGCATGCACTCAATATATATATTTGTCAAAGTTAAACTTAAGTTGACCCTTTTATTTCAGCATTTATGTTTACAGTGTCATGGACATAATTGGCAGCCATCAATTATTCTCAAAGGCTAAAAAACCCTACTAGAATCGGTAAACCTCAATTGTTAAAAAAAAAAAAACTACTAGAAACCCCAGTCCAGTCCAGTCCAGTCCAGTCCAGTCCAGTCCAGTCCAGTCCAGTCCAGTAGGACAAAGGTAGGTACAAAGGTACAATCTTTATGTTTCTCATTAAATAAGAGCATTTTTTTTAAATTATAGAAAACATTTTTGGAATTTTTCAACAATGAAACTAAATTCAGCCTGTTGTTTTTGGTCAGATGTTGATGAATTATGATAACATTTTTGGATTTATTTTTTTTTTTAATCTTTGTTTCTTATCAAATTGGTGCATTTTAAGACATTGTTTTAGATTTGGAATTTCTATTTAAAAAATCAAAATTTATGATAATGTCATTTTTGGTTAGATGTTAGAAAAATAAGAAAAATAAAATTGTATAAAGAATTATAAAACTTTTTTTTTTTTATTTGAGAAATTTTGCAAAAACTTTTTTTCGAACCCCCAGCCCCGAATTTAGCATTTAGCATAATTTTTGGTCAGATTTGGAAATATTATGATGAAAATTTCCTCAAAATGCTATTTTTTCTGCATGTTTCTTATCAAATAAATTTATTTTTCATAATTATTTGTAAAATTCTTCTTTTGTATGTTGTGTTGGTGAAATCGTGAAAACTTATAATGAGCATTTTTGGAAAAAAGTATTTAAAATTTGTTATCTTTTTGCATGTTTCTCATCAAATTAGAGCATTTTGTGAAATGTTTTAGGAAAAAAACTTTTTTGAAATTTTTAAGAAAAAAAAAATTTCAAATGTAATTTTTGGTTAGATGTTCAAAAAATTATTGGACATTTATGGAGAGAAAACTTTTTTTTTCTGTATGTGTCTTATCAAATTAGAGCATTTTAAGATTTCTTTTTTGTAAAAATCTATCTACGCATGGCGTGGTGGTGAAATGGTGAAAAATTTTTGGAAAACAAAATCTCAGAATGTTATCTTCCCTCCATGTTTCTCATCATATTAGATCATTTTGTGATTTTCTGGGGGGAAATTCTACTTTCACATGTTGTGTTGGTCAAATGATAATAGAGAGAGAGTCAATATTTCAAACTGTACCCTGGTGACTCCATCCCACATATCTTTGGACTTCCTAAAGTGCATAACATGGGTGCTCCACCTCCACATTGCCGTTACTTATGTTGCCAGGACCTCCGTAAAACCTAGGAGAATTATTAACCAGCACCAAAGTCTTGTACATTTTAAACCCACCAACGCCCTCAGACAAAGACTGGTTCATCCAAAGGTAAAAATACCTCACCACAAACAGAACAACATTGTACATGTACACTGAGGCCTCTCCTGATCTTTACATTGGGGAAACCAAACAACCACTGTACAAGCGTATGCAACAACACAGAAGAGCCGGCTCCTCAGGGCAGGACTCAGCTGTTCATCTAGATCTTGAGGACAAAGGACACACTTTTGTGGATGAGGATGTACATATCCTCGCCAGAGAAGACAGATGGTTTGAGAGAGGGGTGAAGGAAGCCATCTAAGTCAATCTGGAGAAACCACCTCTCAACAGAGGAGGTGGTTTGAGACACAAGCTTTCATCCACCTATAATGTTGTCCTGAGTTCCCTTCCCAAAAAATTCCAACCCTCTCCCTGAAAACAGGACCACAGTTTCATCTAAAGGACACCCAGCCAAAAGTGTCGCTCAGGTGAAACTATTAGTCTATAGCTATGGTATCACTCCCCATTCACACCTCCAACCTGCTTAACAGTCTGCCCTCCTTTGAATAGGGTGGGTTTCATCACACCTATATCCCCCTGTCTGCAACAACCCTTGTTACAGGCATGTAGCCCCCTGAAGGCTAAATACCAGAATTTGCCATATTTACTGCATGTTTCTTATCAAATTAGAGCTTTTTGAGAAGATTTCAAAATTTTTGAATTTTATATTTTCTGCATGTTTCTCATGAAGTTAGAGCATTTTGAGAAAAACAATTCTACTTTCACATGTGCTATTGGTCAAATGGTTAAGAATTATGATGAAAATGTTTGGAAAACAAAATCTCATAATTGATGTTTCATCAAATTGCAAATTTATTTTAGAAAAAAATCTAATTCATTTGTAAAATTCATGTTGTGTTGGTCAAATGGTAAAATTTTTAATGAAATTTTTGAAAATTTGCTTTTGAAAATGGTATCTTTTCTGTTTCTCATCAAATTAAAAAAGTTTTCTAAAATGTTGTTATATTACACTTTTACATGTCGTGTTGGGCAAACACAACATGCAAAAAAAAGTCATTAAATTTTGATGACATTCTTTATTTTTTTTCAAAATTTTATATTTTCTGCATGTTTCTCATCAAATTACAGCATTTTGAGAATCTTTTTAGAAAAACAAACATTTCATATTTTTTGTAAAGTTCTACTTTCGCATGCCGTGTTGAAATTAGAAATTTCATCTTTTTTTCTTAGACCAAAAAAATCCAAAATTTAGAGTATGCGTCTGGCTTTCGACAAACACGTGAAATGAACGAGTGAGGCGGCCTGGGAGTACTCGTCCACCTAGCCTTAGCGTCTGTAAGCGTGCTTTTCTCTCAAATCTTTACTCATATCTCAGTAAATCACATTTTTTTCCCAAACACTCGTTTGTTGAGACGCTCGCATCTCAAGGTATTACTCTACGCTATTCAAATCTGTCTGTGGGTTGGACTAATCCAGTGTAGTAAAAGCAAAGGGGTGTTCTGAAGACAGACTGTAATCTATCAAATGGGGTGGTCTACGAACACCCCCATTAGTGTATGCATGTATATATATAAACATATAATATATACATATATATATATATTCCATAGTGTAGCAGTTAGTACGCAGAGAGCAGAGTCCTGAAACCACATGCTTGACAGTTAATCCTAGTTCTGGATAAAAGCCTCTGCTAAATGTAAATATTTGTATTTAAAAAAAAAAAGACTAATCAGAATTCTGGTGGAGCCTGAAGCTAATTGACCAGTAACTCAATCACTGGACTAATATTGGACCCACCAACAAATGAGTTCAGTCGAAATGTGTGAAATATATATATTTTTTAAATGTTTATTACTGATTAAATTCATGTAGGGAAATATCACATCTTTTTCTCCAGTGTACAGCAAACCACAGCTGATGAGTGTGTTCTTCATGTAGCACACGGTGCATGTGTGACACATGCAGTTTGGTGTGCTGGATAGGTGTGTATGTTCTATACTGAATATAAACACGCAAATATATTTATATGTCTATACACAATGAATAGATGTCACAAATATTTGAGATTTGACACCGTCTCTGGGCTGCGGTGAAGGGTCACAGCGGATGGATCGTGGATTTATTGGGATCCCAAACTGCCTGCCAAGGTTTGTTGGGAAGGATGAGAACCAGCTTTTTCCAAACGGAGCTCTTATCGCTCTTTCTCCAAAACCAAAAAAATTAAATAATATAATTCTGAGACATTTGCGTAAAACCTCCGATGGTGAACACGACGCAAACGGACGAGAGTTGTGGCATGAATACACAGAAATCCAGAGATGAAGTATTTCATTGCTGTTTGTTCTCAGTAGCATTCCCATTGTCACACACTCATCAGGAAACACTCTCAGGTAAAACTTCAGTTAAGTTCTCAGTTAAATGAGGAGGAAGTGATGACAGAGAAATGCCAACAGTTGAATGAAATATAGAGAAACTTGACATTAGTCCCTAACACAAAGAACAACAAGGAAATGTACATGCATGTGAAGTTTGTTATTCCTTTTTCAAAAACATCACACCAAATTTCCATGTAAACACTGAGACCCCAACTGTTTGGGTTGGTTGTAGGTGTCCATCGTGAATGTGATCCTGATTGGGCTCGAGTTCCATTTAAAACCTTACGTCATGTTGCACAGTGAAGTTGAGCATTTGGACTTCGGTATAGTATCGGATGGGCTATAGTTGTTTTTCGATATTTGATCCTGAAATTTTGACCAATATTGGACTAATACCGACCCTGAGTACGGGACCAAGCCATCCCTAGTTTGCACTGGACTGTATATAAAAACTGGACAGATCAAGCCAAAGCCTTCAGCAAAATCAGATCTCACTTCACTCCCATCAGTTAACCATTCCTATGATTGTAGGGCGTCAGTCAATAGTTCCAGGTCGTCTTCTATTAAACGTGATATCAGATATGACTTTGAGACTGGACCACAGTTCTATCAGGAAAATGTTAACTGATGTTACAATGAGATGAGAAGTAGCCTCTCGTGGGAAGACTCATATCCTTAAAGCAGTGGTTCTTGACCTTGTTTGAGGTATTGAACCTCACCGGTTTCATATGCACACTCACCTAATGACGGCCAAGCAATAACAATGATTCGTCATCACGAATCAAATGAGTCGGGTGTGTGTCTTGTCCTCCGCCGAACCCCTGAGACTGACTCATCAAACCCTTGGGGTTTGACTGAACCCAGGTTAAGAACCACTGCCTGAAAGTATCTCTGACTTTTATATGACATTCAGCCTAATGACACTTTCTGTTCCTAAACACAGTTAAGGGTTTACACCAGTGAAGTAAACCAAATGTTCTTTAGTCTAGTGACATTAAGGGTAGGCGTCAATCTGCCTGCCTGCTTTTGCTTGTACTACCAGTTTCCTCTTAAATCCCTCCAATGCCAATATAAACATTCAGTTCATTCATAGTTCTACCTGACATGTATTAGTGACAATTCAGTTTATTTTATTTCAACTGGATGAGCTGTTTGAAATTATGCTTTGGGAAACGGAAACTGTGGCCAATGTGAAAGAGCTGTGGCATTATTTTCAGATCATTACCTTCCCAGCAGTCCATTAACGGTCAAACACTGGACGTGAGTTTGTTGCTGACAGGTGATGAGATGTAGGTATAAAATATACAGAACTATAGAACGAGAGGGAGGCGACTTAGTCCTGAGCGATTCCTGAGGACTCAACTGGGTCCCTGAATCACCACAACCCTTATTTTAATCTACATTATTGGCAGTTTCATTTGTTGAAATAAATGTGGAGAAGATTTTAAAATTTTAAAAGTAAGACTACAGTGATGAATGTTTTGATGCACTTTAACAAGACAACTAAATGAGAAGAGATAAGTCAGTTAATGTTGGCTCAGCACTACTAGAGGTTAGAGGGGACATGTTGGGAAGCTTGGCAAAACATCCACAAAACAAAATCAAACATGACAAGTCACCAGTTTATGTCCATAGAATTTGCTTGCTAAAAGTCGACTATAAATCATTGTCTTTCTTCTTTGATTTATTTTTCCCATCACGTCAAAGAAAAACAAGAAAACAAACAAACAAAAAAAATCTTGCAGTTCATGATTCTGGATGATCAGTTGGCGGGAGTTGTGAAATGACCCGTGTCTGAAACTGTAAAAACAAGTGGCAACACCCCTGGCTTTGACTCAAACCGCTGCTGAAAAAGATAATCTCCGGACCAATCAGACAGCCCCTGCCTTCCACTCATCATGCCCCCCGCCTCCCACAAATTAATAAAAGTAGCAAAGAAAAGGGACATCCAAAAAGGGGAAGCCCTCCTCCTCCTCCTTCTCTTTAGGCGCAGAGTCCGACCTGACTCTAAATGTCCCATGTGCAGTGGAATGAGAAGGAGAGAGGAGATACTGCAGAAAGAGCATAGATGGGATTTATTTGGATATAAATCTGGGAAATATGGCAGTCAGTTGTCAGCTCGCAGATCCTCGGAGGGGAGAACCTTCAGGTCAATAGCGCCCTTCTGCTGAATTCCAAATAAAACTTATTCTGATGTTTGATAAAATCTGTACATTTATTTTAAAAGTCTCCATGATTAGTCTGTCCAAAGGGGACAATTTTCCATTTATTCGTTTAAATCTTTTAATGTATATGTAATAAATCTTTTTCTGCTCTTTAATTTAGATGCTCTGAGTCCCACTGTGTCTGTGTACGCATGTGTTTGTGTGCATGTGTGGCCTTTTCTTGGCAGGTTTGTTAGCAGCATTTTTTCTTCCGTTTACTGTTCCTGGTGAGTTTGACCACGTCGTTCTGTTGCTGCTGCTGCTGCTTTGCTAACACCTCCTTTTTGGCTCTTAGCACCAGCTCTGTGATGCAGTTAAACATCTGCGGAAAGATGAAGCACAAACACCAGAGATGTGTTGAGGAATAAGAGAAGTCAGATCTGAGATCAAACACTAAAGTAGGGAAAACATAAATTATTCATCAAAGCTGCGAGAATATGTTACTTCAGGTCTGTAAAGTCTGAGGTCATTTCTGCCGTTGTTTCCTAACAATCAATCAATTAGGAAAGAAATTTGAGGTTTGTGAGCAACATTTTATGTTACACAGCCTACTGGGTTAAATTACACACAGTTGTGGCTCTTGTGAAACCTGATCATGTTGCACAGCATTTGTTATAATATTATGCAGATACAAGTTGAAATAAGACCATATCACAGTGTCAGTGTGCAGTCATATTAAAACAATTCTGTTATGGTCACAGTGGAGTTTCACCAAAGTCATTCAGCAGACAGACACACAGACACACACAACTTCATAATCAGGTATAACAAAACATTTAGGCAGTAAGTGACAAATCAAAATACAAACACACACACAAAGAAATGGTGACAGTTTTGTTAACAGTTTGAAGCAAAAGACTTGACAGAGAGTGAGTTACCTCTTCAACGTTGATGTTCTCTTTTGCACTCGTCTCAAACAGATTAATTCCCATCTGCTCAGCAAACTTCTGTGCATCAGTCGTCTCCACCACCTTAGAGTTGGGGTCGTCGTTCTTATTTCCCACTGGGGAAAAAAAAAGATGACGAAATGACAAAACAGAACTGAGAGTTTTCTCCAACTACGGGAAAGTACTTTGATGTTTCTAAAAATATTGGAAGTAAACAGACTCACCTAATATTCGACACACGTCATCACAATTCTGGTTAATTTCATGTAACCATCGTTTGACATTGACAAAGGACTCGGCACTCGTGACATCGTAAACCACTATGACTCCATGTGTTCCCCTATAATACCTGAGAGAAGCAGAGACATACACACAGTCCAGGTTAAAATGACACTGAATGAAACTAAACAGCACGTAGGTGTATGAAAAAGGAGGAACTGTCATCAATGTGAGATTAGCATTTGTCCAGAACAAAAAAACGAAAGCAGTGACCACCGATGATAGAGTTCAACTGTAAACAATAGAAACGAGAGAGACCCCAGACAGAGATTGCATGTAACAGCACCAAACATAACGAACAATAGGCCCCCGTCACCAATAGGCCCCCAATAGGTAACATGTTTAGGAATAATACTGTGTTGACAAGAAAAAAACATTTTAGCAGGTCTCAATTAAACGAGACACATGAGTGTGCATATACAGGGTTGTCCCTCCCCTAATGTGGGCAGTAATGAGGGACCAAACAGCGGGTTTTAATGAACATATGTATACTGGTGTATACAGTGTGTGTGTGTGTGTGTGTGCTTAACACACAAGAGCCCTTTTCTGCAGTAAAACAGCTGAAACAGGCTAATAAAAATAGAGTTTTCCTCCAATCTTCAATCAAGGTGGAGTCCTGCTATGCTGTGGGTGACAGAAGGTAATCTGATCTGGTCCTTATTCTTTAAAGTTTTTTTTTTGAAAGGCCGATCAAAATAGACAGGAGGCATCACATTATTACAATTACAAAAGTCATTACGCAGTTTTAATGTCCTAAATGAAAATGAGTAAATGAAAATGAACGAAGACGAAGGTATAACACACTGTGCCACTAGATGGCTGTGTTTGTATCTGGTTTTAATATCCAGTGTGTCTCCATGTTTCCAACTTCTCAGTACTATTTTTAAACAAACACCTGCGTCATTTCTGTTTTGCAAAAACCAAATAATGGATGTAGTGAGTGCAGGAGAAAGAGATGGTGAGATAAGGAAAGAGTAGGACGAGGAGCAGGGATA